CTCGCCAAGTCGGCAACAGGGGAAGGCGGCCGGGTGCCCCCCAGATGTGGCCAGCTGTGACCCCCACTGGCCCAGGCCGGCATGGCTAATGAGCCTGAAGCACTGGGGCTGATGTTCCCAGGCCATCAATATCTGTCTGCAGTAGTCGGGCCCGTCGCAGCCCAGGAAAGGGGGCAGTGTGGTGTAGTGGTTAAGAGTGTGGGGCTGGGAATCGGGGACTGCAGGGCCCTTGGCCAGGGAGCCAACTGGGTGCGCTTGGGCCAGGCACAGACGCTCAGCCCATCCTACCTCACAGGACTGTTGTGGTGGGGATAAGAGTGACAACAGGAGGAGGAGAATGGTGTAGGCCTTTCTGAATTCTTTGCAAGAGAAAAAGGTGGGATATAAATCTAATAAATAAATAAATCGGCTGTCCTGCCACAGAGCTCCAACCCTTTCCCCTTGCTTGCTTGGTTCACAGCTATTCTTCTTAGCTGCAGGAGCTTTCCAGGTCAATAACAGGATAATTATGGAGAACAAATCACTGTTTTATTTCTACATGCAAGATTTGTCTACTGCTGCATATCAAGCCAACAGAAAAACAGAATAAAAACAGTTCATTAAAAGCAGGGTAATATTCAAATTATGCCAAGAGAGGCTTCCTGGAGCAAGGAAGGTTCAAGCAGGGGCTGAAAGCAACACACCGTGGCTGCCTGCCTGACCTCCAGAGGGAGGGCATGCCAGGCAAGAGGGGCCACCACGGTGAAGGCCCTTCCCCAGAGGACTCTAGAAGTGGGGCTGTAGGTCCTGGTGAGGCAGCGGAAGCAAGTCCTCCGATGACCCCGGGGCCAGGCGGGTGGATCAGGGAGAAGCTGCTGCCCCAGCGCCTGGTCCCAGAGCGCGCAGGGCGCTGCACACCGGGAGCACAGCGGTCATCTGGCCGGTGGAGAAGAGGCAGCCAGTGCCGTTCCCCAGCAGAGCAGCTGGACAGGGGCCGCCCCGGGGCTGCGCGTTCTCGGCTGGCTGCAGCTTCCGGAGCAGCCCCTGTGTCGAGCCAGCGCACTAGCCCAGCCGAGGTGGCGTGCTGGGACTGCCGTGGCCAGGGGCGGCCGTGCCTGGAGGACCCCCCTCTTCGCCTCGCCTTGCTCTGACCTGGTGAATTGTGGGTGGAGGGAGAACCGCGCTTTGGAACTCGCTGCCTCCAGAAATGTTGCTCGCCATGACGCATTTGAAAACCTCTTAGGGCACGACACCACGCCTGTTTGGACTGGAAAGAAGTCATACAGCTCACCCTACAAATGCGTGGGACTAGAATCCCAGTGTGGCGTCGTGGTGAAGAGCGTGGGACTGGGCCTCGGACGATCTGGGTTCGAGTCCCCACTCAGCCAGGGAGCCAACTGGGTGACTTTGGGCCAGTCGCAGGCTCTCGGCCCAGCCTACCTCACAGGGTTGTTGTTGCGGGGATAAGATTGAGGAGGAGAATGATGTAAGCTGCCTTGAGCCCTTTGTAGGAAGAAGGCAGGATATAAATTGCAATATAAATAAATAAAAATAAAAAATCCCCATCATCCCCAGCTAGTCTGGATGAGTGGCTTCCTTTTTCTGACTGCCTTCCGTTCTGTATAGCCTCGTGCGTTTTTCTCCGCTGCTGCCGTGTGCAGCCGTGTGTGTGTGTGCGCGCACGCGTGTTTTTGTGTGTCTGTTTTGCTGTTGATGTTTACTTGACTGGTTCAGTTTGACCTAGAAAAAGTGGATACCAGTTCCACTCTCTGCAGGAAAATAAACAAATCCTTGCAGACAGAAAGGTGCAAAAGGACTTTTGGATGAATTTAATTTAATTGAATTTTGAAAGAATTTGGCGCCAGGTCAAGACCTTTTTATTCTTCCGTACTTTGTTCAACTTTACGCTCAGTTTGTGGATTATTTATATTGTATTATTTGGGTATCTATGTATATGGGATTTGAACTGTAAGCCATCCTGAGACCCACTGGGTATTGGATGGGGTAAAAAATTACACAAATAAAAAAATAAATGATCAACGTAACTAAGTGTGGAGTATTTGGGAAGGTTTCTTGCAGCAGGGACCAGTGTGGAAAAGAGTTTATTATTATTATTATTATTATTATTATTATTATTATTATTATTATTATTACTACTATTATTGATTTAAAGCTTTTCTATCCCGCCTTCCACAATGAGTCAGGGTGGTGAGTGTGAGAGGTACTCCCACAGGACATGGTGGATGAGAAGCCCTTGCTTGGCATGGTTCAGGCTCCAGCTTCTGGAGTTTAAATGATCTTGGAAAAAGACGGCTTTGGGCTTTAGAAAGCTGATGGCGATCCAGGTAGACATCGCTGGGATATGCCAGTTCAAAGCCAGTTTCCTAAGGGCGAGAAAGAACAAATTCAGAGCCCATATAATGCTTAGAGCATTCACGGGGCAAGCAAAATTCATACTCTCTCTCAGCCTCAAAACTATTTGGTTGAGTTGGAACTCTCAGTGTTTTTCAGCCTACCAGCCTGTCTCTGCTGATGAATTAAAATCTCATCCTGTTCATTGAGCATGCTTGTAAAACAGACATGTCAGAATTGGAGAAGCCTTATTTCAATCAAGATTTTGAAAAACGGCATGTGGGCAAAACAGAAACGGACAGATTCCTCCAAGGGACGCAGAGGGTGCTGAGAATTTAACCCTTGCTGCATCTTCAGCGGTGCTGGGTTAAGCTGGCCACCTCCTTTCTCTGGCATTGCTCCACATCCCGAACAACCTCACAGCAGGTCAGGAAGAGGATGGCCCTCCCCGTACTGGGCGTAGAATTAGGAAAACCGCCTGAATTTGGAGGATGGGGAAGCATTAACCTCCGTTCAGTTTTTGATATGTTTGCATAAGCTGGATAGAAGGATGTTGCGATTTATAAGCAGGACCTCAGCTGAGTATTAAGAAGACAAAATCATGTCCAGAGATGGACTTTAGTGTTAATAATGAGGGCACTGGAATTGTGAAAGATTTCACATACTTTGGCTCAGTCGTCCCTTCAAAGGGAAACTGCGGCCACGAAAGCTGGAGAAGGCTGAGACTTGGAAGGGAGGCAGAGAGGGAACTGGAAACCATCATCCAGAGAAGGACATTCCACTGGAGACCAAGGCCAAGATCATCCCGATGATTGCATTCCCGATCACAGTGTACGGCTGTGAAAGCTGGGCAGTGAAGAAAGTTCTCAGGAAGAAAATGCATGTGTTTGAAGCAAGGTGCTGGAGGAGAGCTTTGCACATACCCAGAACTGGCAAAGAAGTGGCTCCCGGATCAAAGCAAGCCAGAGCTGTCCCTGAGCTCGGAACCACCTGGAAAGCCAGGAGTCCATGCAGAACAAGGAGGCAGAAAATGCAGCAGCATTGCCTGGAAGAGGGGGTGCCCAGTCTGCTGATCAAATTCGCACACGATACTAAAATGGGGGCGGTGGCCACAACTGAGGAGCAGGTACTGCAGATCCAGAAGGATCTGGACAGGCTGTGGAAGTGGGCAGGAGACAACAGCATGGCGTTTAGTGTGGATAAGTGCAAGGTCTTGCACTTGGGGCATAGGAATGGGTGTCATGAGTACAGGTTAGGGGACAAGTGGCTGGAGAGCAGCACTTGTGAAAGGGACCTCGGGTGCTGGTCGACTGCAGGCTAAACACGAGCCAGCCATATGATGAAGTGGTCAAGAGGGCGAACGCCACCCTTGGTTGCATAGCCAGGAGTGTTGCTTCTACATCGAGAGAGGTATTACTGCCACTCTGTATGACTCTGCTGTGCCCGCAACTGGAGTCTTGTGTTCAGTTTTGGGGCCCTCGTTACAGGAAGGATATAGCAAGGTTGGAATCGGTGCAGCAAAGGGCCACAAGGTTGGTGGCTGGTTTGCAGGGGAAGCCATATGAGGAGAGACTGGGAGAGTTGGGTCTTTTCAGCCTTGAGAGGAGGAGACTCAGAGGGGGCCTGTTAGTGACATACAGGTGTGTGAGGGGGTGCCACGCAGAGGTGGGTCATTACCTTTTTTCCCCTGCGGTGGAGGCAGGAAATGTTCCAATGGAGCAAAGCTCAGGGAACCAAGATTCAGGGCGGATGCCAGGAAGCACTTCCTGATGGTTAGGACCCCGAGGGTGTGGAATGGGCTTCCACGGAAAGTGGTTGGGGCCCCATCGGTGCGGGTGCTCAAGGACAGGCTGGACATGCACATGGTAGGCATGTCATGAGCGCAGCCGGCTGGAGCTCATGTTTCTTCATGGGCTGAACGGCCAGAGACAGGACGATTTTCCCTCCTCGTGTTCTTAGGCTCCCTCCCTCATGCAGCCCACTCCTCCTCAGTTCTGCTTTAACAAGCTTGTATAAAAAGATCCCAGAACCGCTACCTAAACACTGTGCTGCAGCTTTCAGCTGCCTTGTGCCCTGTTTCCCTGAGCATGTCCCTTCCCTGCATTTCCCTCTCCAGAGGCCTTAGATGAAACTCTGGAAGCGCCATCCCTTGTTTGAGCTTGGCAGGTTACGAGCGGTGTGAATCAAAATTAACTGGTGTGTTTCTAGTGCAAATGCAGGTCCTTTGTTTCTGGCTTGGGTTTCTTTTTTTAAAAAATGCAGAGTTTTTAATGCAATGATCTGTTCTTGTAATCTTATGTTTTTATTGCTGTTCACCACCCTGGATAGACTTCAAGGCAGCCCATAAATGTTTTGAATAAATAAATATTTTTCTCCTTTTCCCTTCTTCTCCCCCACCTCTCTCTCTCTCTCTCTCTCTCTCTCTCTCTCTCTCTCTCTCTATCTTATACTGGCTGGGGATGATAGGCAATATAATCCAACATATTATGACTATGGATGGAGGAGGCTAGTGTACCACCTTACAAGAGTGAGAATAACAATGATGGTCATTAATAACGGTGATTCAACGGCAGCAGCGACAACAACGTTTCTGGGAGGTGCTGCCAAAATTAAAAGACCTGCTTTCTTTCTGAACCTTCAGCCTGTTGGTTCTCACCTGTTTCTTGCAGCCATGAAAGCCGACCGGACGCGTTTGAAGGGAGAGAAGTCCGACCTGATGAACCAGATGCAGCAGCTGTACGCCACCCTGGAAAGCCGCGAGGAGCAGCTCCGGGACTTCATCAGGAACTATGAGCAACACAGAAAAGTGAGGAGGGCTGGGGGTCACTAGCCACGGGCAGCCATGCCGTACTGGCCGTGCTTGGACGTTTGGGACTGTTTGCTGCGATGGCCAGATGGGGAGCCTCCGGGTTCAGGGGCAGTCTGCCGCTGCTTAGAAAATTTCCAGACAAGCAAATGGAGAAATTGTGTCCTGGACAGGCAGTGGAGGGAGGGCCACTGGCAGGGGGTCCATCAAGGTGGGGGGTGGGGGGGGTTGATGAATCGCCATCCTAAAAGGGTTTGGGGCTTTAAGGGTGATCACCAGCTGCTCGAAGGAGGCCCAGAAATGGCTCGGAACCATTGCGACAGGCGGCCGTTATTTCAGTGCGGCATAAAACACACCGGCCTGCCAGGCATTTTAACGTGTTGACGTGCAGTGTGCTCTGCTGTGCGTTTGCCCGTGACTTGTATTTCTGGGGATGCTTTCTGGTTTCATCGCCTGAGCAGCTGTTCTTCTCCATCCCTGCGGGACACGGCAGCCTGTCACCCCAAGGTGAAGCGTGGCTTTCAGAGCCCTTCCCGTTGGGGAGCGTCCTTCCCGGACTCTCCGTGGCTCCGGCCTTCACCGCGTCAGCCTGTGTTGCCAGGGTGATGGGACTGGATTAGAGGAGCCGAGCCGGCAGGGACACTCGCCCGTTTGCCACCGCGCTCTGAACCTCTCCCCATCCACAGGAAAGTGAGGATGCGGTCAAGGCGCTCGCGAAAGAGAAAGACCTGCTGGAGCGCGAGAAGTGGGAGCTGCGCCGGCAGGCCAAGGAGGCGACCGACCACGCCAGCGCTCTGCGCTCGCAGCTGGACCTGAAAGACAACCGCATGAAGGAGCTGGAGGCTGAGCTGGCCATGGTGAGCTGGGGTCCCGGGCCCTCGGGGAGCTGGGGAGGGGCCCGTGTCCCCAACCGCCACCTGCCGACACGGGGAGCCCCCCGCCGCTGCGCTCCGTGGCGCTTGGCTGCGCGCCCAAAGCAAAATGGCACCTCCCTTTCCACGCCACCGGTGCTCGGGGCACCGAGACGGATGGGGCGCAGCAGCCCAGGTGCTTGCGAGGAGGGCAGGCCTGACCCATGGCGTCTGCTTCCCTTCCCGCCCCCAGGCGAAGCAGTCCTTGGCGACGCTGACAAAGGACGTGCCCAAGCGGCACTCGCTGGCCATGCCGGGCGAGACGGTGCTGAACGGGAACCAGGAGTGGGTGATGCAGGCGGACCTCCCGCTCACGGCTGCCATCCGGCAGAGCCAGCAGACGCTGTACCACGCGCACCCCCAGCACACGGTGGACCGGCAAGGTGAGCAAGCCGCGGGGCCTCCTCTCCCCGGGCGCCCGGTCGCCAGCTCAGCCGCAGCCCTCGGCCCCCGTCCTTTTGCCGCCCTTCCTCCCAGGAGCTCAGCTTGGCGGATGAACCCGTTCTCCCCACACCACGTGTTTTCAGAACGGTCCTGTGAGGTGGGCCAGGCAGAGGCCGAGACAAAGCCAAGCACTGAACTTCATGAATTTTAACCCAAATTAAGGCTCCGGGAACACCCGGCTGGATTTACAGACCCTGCCTGTCGCGACCCATTGCTCCAAGGCGCCTTGCGCGTGGTTGCCCCATAGAGAGCTCCAGGCTCCGCACAGGTGGGGTCTGAGCTCACGGTGGAGCATGACTGGGTTACGCTTCAGGGAAATCCGAGCGCGGGCCCTGCGAGCAGCATCCGTTCCCCCCGGCCCCTCTGGCGTCCAGGCAGTGATTCCATTTTATTTATTTGTTTATTTTAAACTTGTTTAGACTGTCCCTTACTGTAGCCGCTGCATGAACGACGAACTGCATTCTCGGGCGGCCAGACTGGCCTGCCAGATGTTTGGAACTACAACTCCCATCAGCCCTTGCCAAGGAATGATAGGAGTTGTAGGCCAAAACTTCTGGAGGGATGCCGTCTACCCCCCTCGAGGCAGGCTTGAGCCTCAGAGCCAGGCCAGCCGGTCCAGCACTGGAGGCTCCGTTCAGCTTCCTCCAGGGCCTCGTGGGCACAGAGGAGAGGGAAGGGGGCTTGCGGCGAGGAAGCCACTCTCGGGCCTCGGATCGGCGCCCCGGCGCTGCCGCGTGCCCCGCGCCCCGGCAGGGTCTGGGCCGCCACTCGGGCTGCCGGCGGGGACGCTGCAGGCGCTCACCCCGCGTCTCCGTGCCTTGCCTTCCAGCGGTCCGCGTGAGCCCGTGCCACTCCCGGCAGCCTTCCATCATCTCCGACGCCTCGGCGGCAGAGGGCGACCGGTCGTCCACCCCGAGCGACATCAACTCGCCGCGCCACCGAACCCACTCGCTCTGCAATGTAAGGCTCCTCTGCAGGTCATTGCCCATTCTTAACCCTGTTCTTCCCGCCTGCCGCGCTTGCCACTTCGCTTGGCGCCTCCCAAGCCGTCCGGGGGCCGCCCGGTGCCCGCCACTGCCACCGCTTTGCCCGATGCGCTGGATGCAGAGGCCAAGCGGCACCTGCGGCAGAAGACTGCCGGCTGCCCCGCCCCGGGGACCTCTGATGCGGGGGCTTTGCAGGCCCTTAGGGTGCGGGAGGAGTTCGCAGGAAACCTGGCACCCTCCAGATATTTTGGGCTGCGAGTCCCATAAGCCCCAGCCAGCATGACCAGTCACCAGGACTTCTGGGAGCTGTAGTAGAAAATGTCTGGAGAGCCCCAGACCGTCTCCACTTTGGAGTTGGCTGAGGGCAGGTGCTGGGGAGTGCGGAAGTGGAGGGGCGTCCTTTTTCCTTTCCCTGTATAATACAAGGATGGGGGCAATGAATGTAATCCCTCAGCATGCTAAGTCCCCTCTTAGCCCCAAGATTAAGTTGTTGGGAGCCTCAGCAGCACAATTAACACATCTCTCCCTCTTCCAGCTGCCTTAATTTTTCTTAACTGTCTATTATCTCCTGATATTGATCCGACACTGCTCAGGGCTGATGGGATGCAAATTTCCTTTGCTTTTCTGCAGAAGTTCTTTGTGTATTTATGTATTTATTTCAAATCCCTCCTCTCAGCCAACTGGGTTCACCAGACAGCTCACAAACAAGCAAAATTTTCAGTAAAAGTTGGAATAACTGGAAGAAGCAAACATGATTTGGAGAAACCAAAGAGAGGAAGGCTTCCTTTTTCAATGTCGTCTTTTCCATTAGTGCAAAGACTGAATTGGGAGGGCATAAAACTCCTCCTCAGTGACTTTCTCTTTTATATTCACTCCTAACACGGAGGATGAAGGATGAAGGAAACCACACACAATTCACCTCTCTTTCACACCTTCATGAGGAGGGGGTGAATTTAGGGGAGGGGAAACTCACATGGTGGTCCTGATCCAGATCAGCACCTGCACACTTACGCTACAATTCAAAAGAAGCCAGGGTCAGCTCCATGCCATGAGTTGAGCAGGCAATTTATCCCCCAAAAACACCTGCTCAGCTTCCCTAGTCACTTTTTCCTGGGGAGGGGGGGAGGCCTCCTGGCAAAACACCTGCTTTGAGCCCCCCTCCCCCCGCCAAACTCTCAATATCTGTATTCCATGCAGCCGTTCCTGGTTGCCAGACCATAAAAACTAGACTTCGGGGGTGCTAACCAGCCGGATGGGAAGGGAAAAGTTTTCGCATTACTTTTTGCTACATGAAAAGTTTTGTAAAATGCCAATATGGCTATGCAGATCGCTGTCTCAAACACGCAGACAGGAAAAATAACATTGCAGGAATGTAGAAAGTTCTGCTCAACCTTTTAAAACAGGGCTGAGGCTGGATGAAAATTTCCATCAGTCTTGGGCAGTCCACCCCACCATGAAGGATGATGGGAAAAGTAGTTCTTCAGCCCTTGGAGGGCCAGATGTACCTCTGCCTGCTCTGAATTTGAGGAGCGTCCGGTGCAGACTTGTGCACGATTAAACAGAAAACGTGTCTTACCACCTCCTGGTTTGGGGCATTCTGGGAGAAAGAAACAACACCCATTTCTAGAACATGGGTAGCTACCACACCCTTACCACGTGTTCCTGGCAGTGGCTGGGCCTGGTCCTCAAAAATCTTTTCTAATGATGGCTGGAATACAGTTTTTCCCCTTCAGTATCAACCATAACCCAAGATATTTTTGACCCGTTCAAGCTGCTTCCGTTTTGGTGTAAAATAAAGGCTTTGAGGGTTTGGGGTTTTTGTTTTTGGGGGGAGTTGGGGGGGCTACCCTGCTCCAGCCAAACTAATTGTGGTGTGTGAGGTCCCTTTGGATGTCTGGCATTGCACAATTCTTTTGTTCTTAAGTTGGTACATAACTGCAGGGCGGGGAGGGGACAAAACTGGAGCTCAAGAAGGGATAATTGCAGTGGTTCGGTTAAAAATGTGTTTGTTCTCTTCTTCCCACCCACAAAGCTGCCAGTTGTCCTTCAGAAGAAAGCGTACCAATTAACGTCCTCAGGGAACATTCCAGATAGTTGCAGCTTTGCTCATACTTAGAGCGGAGCCTACTCTGGGTAGGGCTAAATCTGGATCCAGCCCATAGTCCTCAGAAGAGCACAACGGTGTCGGTACAAGTCTGAGAGAGGGCAAGCGTGTCAGGAGGGAATGAGCGGTCCAGGGTGGGCTTGTGGGGTGTGCTGTGGCTAGTCCGGCGTTAAGAATGAGCCGAGCCGGGTGCCCACGTGGCTTGGGTGGCCAGTGCCCTCCAGTGAAGGTCCATCCAGCCACAGAGCTTGGCCGGCCCTTGGGTCTAAACCGCCCCCCCCCCCCCCGCCACTGCCAGTTTCCGGTTATCTGGAATTGGAGAATCCCTGGACCCAGCAGATCTGGGCTCTGCTTGAAGACTTCCAGGGAGAGGACAGCTCACCACTGCGTGAAGGACTCTCTTCCCACCAAAACTCTTGTCCTCGGACTCAGGTGTCATCTGCCCTCTTCATCTTAAGCCTGCGAGATCCAGGCTGGCCCCTCGGGGCAGCAGACAGAGGCTAACCTTCTGTGTGACGCCCTTTGCATCTCCAGAGGGGCTCCCACGCCCCCTCGAAGCGCGTTCTCCGAACGGGCATGCTCGCAAGACCCTTCCCCGTTGCATGCAGCACTTGCTCGCCAGGCCCCTCCAAGCATCTTCCCTCCCCTGCTCTGATCCTGCCCCAGTTTGACGGCATCCAGCCATGTGACAGAGCTGCTTCTCTGGGCTTCCTCTTTAGCTCGGTCGCCACGCAGAATCTCACGCGGGTTTCTGCGGCCCCTGCAGCACCAGTTGGGCATGTGGGCCACAGAGTCGCAGATAAGCTGCTCTGCTTCGTTTGGGGCAGGCGGGAGGACCGTGCAGCCGAGGAAGGAGCGTGGCACAGGGCTGGGGACCTGCCACGTCCGCCTTCGGTTCGTGCCCGGACCTTGCGCAGGGATGCCCAGGAAGGAGCCGTCGGGGCCTGGCTCTGGCGCCCTGCATGGCCGTGCTTGCGGCTTCGCTGGCCTCGCTAGGGCTCTGAAGCCACTTCTGTGCCAGGCAAGCGACCTGACGCGTCTCTTTCTTCTGACAGGGAGATAGTCCTGGACCGGTACAGAAAAACTTGCACAACCCAATTGTCCAGGTAAGAACCAGAACCCGACTCTCCGGGCTGTGTGAGATCCACCAAGTGGGATGAGGGGATGCGGGGGCGGGGGGGATTCTGCAGGGCAGAGGGAGGGGTCCGCCTCCAAGTCGGGCCTTCGGTGGGGTGTGTGTGTGTGTGTGTGTGTGTGTATCCCATCTGGGAGGATGGAATTCTGGCACCCAAGAAAGAAACTGCCCATCCCTGGTGTTTTACCGAATCTCTCTTTGGTACTGTTTAGTTTTGATGGTTCTCAATTGTTCAGCATTCAATATATTTAGATGTGTATATATTATACTATATTTTAATATCTGCTTGCATTTTAATATTTGTATTGTACAAATATTTGTATTTTATATCTATTTTATGGACTTTTGTCAACTGCCCAGAGAGTTTCAGCTGTGGGGTGGTATAGAAATGACATCATCATCATCATCATCATCATCGATTATCATTATTATTGAGTATCATTTTATTGATTATTATTGCTATTGTTGGTGGTGGTGGTGCTGATGATATGCATACATAAGGACTTGCCCAATCTGATGCCTTCCCGATGAGCTGGCCATAGAGATGGACAAATTCATCCATTCGAAGGCTCCCACATCTCATTATTTTTAAAATCTCTTCTGCTTGTGAAGAATACTGTGACTACCAGTAAGTTTTGATCCAACACAAATGGAATAAATTCTTCCCCAGCTGCACCAGCATCATTCTCTAGGTGCTGCTTTTCTCAGCCTGCTCAAGCTGCCCGGCATGCCTCTGTTGAAAGAGAGGAGTCTGTCGGCGAAAAAAGGTGCAGCGCATGCAAAAGCTGGCGGGAATTCCCCCTCCTGCTTGGATTCTTATCATTTCTACTGTTTCCCGCTGCATTTTGAAGAAACAGTCAAGCTCCTCTGGAAACGCCTTAGAGCTAACAGGGAAGGGGACGGGGGCTCTGGTGATCTGGCTTCTAGTCCCCGCTCAGCCATGGGGCCACCTGGGGGACTCTGGGCCAGCCACAGACTCTCAGCCTAACCTACCTCACAGGGTTGTTGTTGTGGGGGTAAGACCAAGAGCAGGAGGAGTAGAATGGGGCAAGCCACTTCTTACTTTAAACAAGTAAGTTCTTTGAACAAGAAAAAGATTTGCATCCAGTTCATAAAGAAATACATTGCTTATTTCCCACTGGGCGCAGTGCATCCCACCCTTCAATGCCAGGCCTTCCTTGTGCGCTTCCAGATCCATGAGAAACACAGCTGACCATGCAGTGATCTCGCATTTCTGAGCATCGTGCTTTCGCTTGCTGCTTTTGCCATCCTTTTCCCATGCAGAGGCAGCCCAGGTGGCCAGTTTTACATCACACGGGCCGCTAGTCAGCCTTCCTCCGGATCTGCTTGGAAGGAGCAAGAGAAACGCAGCGTGCAGCCCGTTCTCGCACGTGTTGCACTAAAGCAGGCGTGTTGCCTGCGTGCCCGGGGCTCCGGGGGGCCTCGGGGGGAGTCTGCTGGGAGGCATCCTTCCCACAGGGCTCGGAATATCGCAGCCACAGGTCTTTCTCCTCTTCTCTCAGTCTCTAGAGGATCTTGAAGACCAAAAACGGAAAAAGAAGAAGGAGAAGATGGGATTCGGATCCATTTCCCGGGTGTTTGCCAGAGGGAAGCAACGGAAATCGCTCGACCCCGGTCTCTTTGATGGTACCACCCCCGATTATTATATAGAGGAGGACGCCGACTGGTGACGGCCCGCCCTGCCCCTCCGCTTCTGGTGTGCGTGCGTGCGTGCGTGCGTGCATGCGTGCGTGTCTGGGAGTGTCGTGTGCGTGAGCAGAACCTCTAACTGAACCCGGTGGGCTGCGAGCCGCCGCCTCTTCCGCGTTGCCTCTTCTGTAACCCGCTGTACATAACCCCAAACGGTCCGTGTGCGAACCCCATTAACTGTTGTCTATGGAGCAATGCCAGTCGTGTTGTGTGACCTTCCCTGGGTCTGTTCTGGGGTGTGTTTTTCGTTTTCTCCCTCCCCCCTGGGCCCTCCTTTTTTTCCTTTCAGTTTTGGGGCTTTTTGTTTGCTCCCCACCCCCCTCTTTTTACGAAACTTGAAAAACTTGAAGGACTGCTGTGTATTGTACATAACAATGATGACAAATATTGTGCGCTGTGTGGTTGTGAATGTCTCTTGTCCCAAAACGCTGCTCTTCCTCTGTCCCACGCCGAGCGGCTGTTTGCGTCTCGGGGGTTTGCCGAGATCCCGGCCAAGAAGGGAGACGGCGCCTCCTTCACCACGGCGGCAGGCAGGAGCACGGAGCGGGCGTACCCCAGGGACGGGCGCAGGTGGAGGGGAGAGCCCGTCCCCAGAGCCCCTTCCCACGACCAGGCGAAATGCGGAGCTGTCTGCCCACGTCCGCAACTAGATGCAAGCGCTAAATCTCCCCGGCATCCTGTCTAAACCCTCTGCCTACCGTTTCTGCTAGAGCAGGACTACGCTGGCGAGGAGGAGTCTTTAAGGTGCCCCCCCCCCGGCCTATAAAAGTTCAGACTGGGCCTCCCCCTCCTACTCTTTAAAAAGAAATCAAAATTGCCTTGTATAAATGTGGTCGCATTGGAGTGAGCTTTTGAGGAGCCCCGGTGGCCTACCAAATTGATATGGGCAAGATGATGATGATGATGATGATGATGATGATGATGATGATGAGCATGAGCATTTCCACTAAAAAGCAAGCATTTTCAAGTCATAAGAACCCGCCTGGACTTGGAAACTGCCTTGGATGTTGCATAGTCAGTCTTGGTTTTGCTGGAGCCGTCGACTTGCTTCCACGGGGCACCAGCTCCCGACTGTCTTTCGGAAGACCAGCAGAGCTCCATCTGCGCAGCGAGGCCCCACGGGCTGGAGGCGCCGGCCATCCCTGGTGTACGCCGCTCTCTCGAGAGGGAAAACTCACTGTGTGGTGACGGGTCCATAAAGCCAGCCTTCCGCTTCTCCTCACAGACGCAGCCCATGTGGTGAAAAGGCGTTCAGGCCGTGGAGGAAGGGACCAGCCGGGGCTGCGCACGCAGAGGCGCCCCTTCGGTCCATGCAGGCCCCTCTCCGATGGCCCGGCTTTTGTCTCCCCAGAGTATCTCTTGAACACAAAAGCTGGCTCATCAGGACCTCTGCAAAACTATCCTGGGCACTGCCACAAAATGGCTGCCATGGCAGGCGGGGCGAAGGACAGGAACCTGCCCAGAAGCCCCTGTAGGAGGCCAAGGTGGAGTCTGAGCCCCAGCAGATAAAACAAAACAGAAAGCAAGTCCTCCTGCACCTCCTAAGAAATGGTGTTGATTAAAAAACAAAGAAGTTGGAGCAAAATTATGTAGATTAAAGCACAAAGAAGTTGGTGCAAGCTACTTTGCTGGGTGCCAAGAAAGGTGTTTTGGGGATGCCTTCAAGTCACGTCCAGCCCCCTTCGCTGGTGGAGATGTAAGAGCAACTGCAAGGGCAGGATTCCACCCAGCTGCCTGCGGCAACGAAAGCAAACGGGGGGCTGAAACAGCCTAAAATTCCTCAATGCCATTTCCTTCCCGCTCCCATTGTCCATGGCAGCATCCCCAACAGGCGCCCTTTGGGTGCGTTGGACAGCACCAAGATCCACAGTTACCTGGGAGTAAGTCGGATGGCATTGAGTGGGCTTCCATCCGGAGTGGCCAGTGTGAGATCGACCAGAAGTGTTAATTGGTTATTGCTGACTCTGAGTGGCTCGCTTCCATTTTTCGAGGCTCCCTGTGTTCTGTAGCAGCCCTGCAAAATGCTCACGCCCCTGAGCTCCCATCCTCCTTTGGGCCCCGGAGAGATTCACACTCTCATATTATATTTCCCCAGCCTGGAATCCACCACATGGGCTGCATTTATGGAAGCGCTCCAGTATCCTTACCCAATGTCCTCAAGGTGCATTGGACTATAGCTGGGGAACATGAGCATTATAGTCCAAAACATCTCAAGGGCACTGGGTTGGGAAACCCTGGATCCCAAACCTTGGTGACATCACAGCGTGAGTTTTCCGCAAACAGCCGGGCAAACACACCTTCTGGCCTGTTTCACACGTGACGGTTTTCCCACGAGGACTTGAGCTGGTGGCCCACAGTGGGTTCCCCAGCCAGACCCATGGAAGAAGAAAGAGGGCGGCAGTGTTCCTACGCAAAGGTGGACTCCGAGTGGATAAAACGTCACGTGTCAAGCAGGCCCTGATTTCCATTCCCAAAAAGACCCTCCCAAAAACGTGTCGGCTGGCCTGTTCCAGGTCAGAATCCCAGGATCCCACGGGGACATGCGTGCCGCTTGCTCACTCTCTTCCTAAGTTTTCTGTCGTGTTGTTTTTTAATGCATACTCATCTGGAATAATTCCTTAACCCTCTTCTCCCCCTATTCTTTAGTTTTAATTTATTTGCACAATACAGAGGATGTATTCTAACTAAATTATTACATAAATATTGGAATGTATATTTTTCCACATCGGGTGGGGGGTTTGGATGGGTGGTGTTTGTACTTCTCTGCTCTCTGTATGCTGAATCTGCGGAGCTCAAGTAGGATGGATACGAGGCCAAGAGAACAAATATTATTTTTATCCATTTTCCTTCTCCCCGCCTCCACCCCTCCCCCTTCTCGTGTGAAAAGCTGTTTTCGGATACCCCAAGACAACCAAAATACCAAATATGCCAGAGAGGTTCCCCTCTTTGGCCTGAGCATCTTGGCCTGGCCTTGTCGATCCCCAACACCTTTCTCTGTCCTCTTATCTTGTGACCTGAGCCTGGCGCGTTAGTCATGTGTTCTGGTCCCACACGCAAGATGGAGAACCCTCCCCTCGAACACACGAACACGGGCATCCTGACACACCGACAGTATCAGGACTGTGCCACTTTGCAGACACGAAATGATCTCCACCTTCTCGGATCTGAAGTAGCGAAGTGGGGGGGTTAAAGGATGGCCCCAACGAGGATGGGAACTTTTCCAAAAGTCCCGGGCAAGCAGTGGAAGCCAGCAATGGTCATTTTCCCTGAGAAACACGTTACATTCAGGAATCACGAAACGGGTGCTCCTCAACAGGAAAACCAGCTTGGCCCATTCACACAACTCTTGATGTGACTGACTGTTCTTGCTGACTCTGAACAGAGATTGTTCTAGAGGAGTGAGTCATTTTGACCATCTCTGACTGAAGCCCTTCCTGTCATGGAGAATCCCGGAGTGCAAGGCCGAGATCCATCCTCTGCAACTAATTCCCGAGTGCAGCCACGCACCATCGGCAGCACATTTCACCTCCTGCCGTTTGTTTGCACCCTTCTCCCTCTACCCCCCCCCCCCAAAAGTATTGCAAAGAAGCAGGTGCAGAATGACCTGTGGCTGCATCAAGCTTCTTTTTATGGAAAGCTTTATTGATGTGCGGCTGCCTTCCTGCAGGCATCAATAAAACCCTGTGCAAAAGGTCTTGGTGCGATCATGCAGCCCTCGCAGCGAGTTTGCTTCCCGTTCTCTGCGGTGTTGGAGCGCATTGCCTCAGCATTACGGATGTGCAGGGGAACAAGGATTGAACACTGCCCAAAAGGAATATGACAGAATCATGCATTCTTTTATTTTCGTACAGTGTTTTAGTGATAAACATATTTGCTCCTGCATATTAGTAAAACACCACACCAAAAAAGCAGTCGATGCAACTCCAAATTGTTTTTGTTTTATAAGTGCACAATTGCACGTGTAAAACTACACACAAAAAGAATAATGCTGCAAGCACGGCTGTGCAAATTTGCTCTTTTGCAGTGTTTTATCAAAGTACATAGTATGTAGGGGAAGAGGAAGATGCTAATGAATTAAAAGCTGTAGCGAATTGCCCATGCGCAGCATTCTGCACAAAATTTGGAAATTAGAGCAGTGGCGTTGCCGTGAGGTGCACTTTGGCAGCAAAACAAGAAAAGGATCTTCTGCCTGAGGCATTTATTGCACTGTATGGCCTTTTGGTTTCGCCACAGCATTCGGATCCGAGCTGAACAGAGTACTGCCTTTCCTGCTTTTCTGCTATATGACCTCTAGGTGGAGCTGTGCCATAGCAGAACAGCACAAATACACCAGGAGGTACGGTGCCATTTTCCCTGTTGTAATTTAGTAGCTTATTTTCCCCATTCTAAAAACAAAAGCAAACAGAAAACAAAAACTGAGGATGTGCTTTGATTACAACAGATGCAAAACAGAAAGAGCCCATAAATAACCGTGAATAAAAATCACTAGTCCAATCAAAGGCTTGTGTAGAAAAGCTCCACATCTGGTCTCCAGGCTCAAGGCAGAATGGGGAGAATTTTGGAAGCATCTCCCTGGCTGGTATGCCCCTTTCTAGTCCCACTGGATGCCATCCCCTTGGGCAGCACAATGAAGTGTCAGGATGGGGAAGACAGAAAAAAGCTCTGCCACTGTCAGCGGAGTCACACGAATCAGAGGGAATGACCCCACCGTGGGACGCTTCTCACGTCATGTTTTAAAGGTGCTGGGTCCGTACTGTATCAAATCCAGGCCTCCGGAGCTTGTTGCAGCAAAGTGCTATCTTTTTATGGCACGCTTAACTCCGCAGCTGGGCTGCACTATCAGCACTGAGGAATTGAAGAGCCGAGAAATGGGCAGTGGCTGTTGGCAGAGCGCTCATGCTTAAATTCTTCCAGTCTGAGGAGAGGCAGCATTCTCTGCTTTCCCTGCAAGGCTTGGCAAGGAAGAGATTATTTTGCCCAGGTAAATCCAGAAGCCGTCCCTGCAACTCCCACAGGCCGCGATGATGCACTGCTGCGGTTCCTCAACACTCGGGGGCGATGCCCTGGCTCCCCAAGGTTCCGGGTCTTTGCAGCCCCGCGCATGTAGGCAGAAGTGGTGGGTGCTTCCCGGCAGTTCCACTGCTCTCTCTTCTCCAGCGTGACTTGAAAATGAGGCCTGGGTTTGCCCTTCTGCCTTCATTGCACCCATCTTTTGGCCTGGCCAGGGTCTCTCTCGAAAGAGCAGCTGGCAGAACCTG